TTGAGCCATCAGGTTCGCTCGCCTGACAATGGGGAGTGTTTGCCGGAAATCACCAGCAAACAGAACTACTTTACCTCCAAAGGGTAAGTCAATCCCGGTTATATCGGCCTGATTGTTCGATCAACACATTCAATAGCGTGCTTGTGTTGCATTGCGACCTCATCCCAGACAATAAAACGAATATTTTGAAGTTTCCGACCCACGTGATCCTTACTCAAAACAGGGCACATTGATTCTTCATCAACAATGATCGGGATTTTGAAAGCACTATGAGCTGTTCGACCGTTCAAGAGCAGCAGAGATGCAATCCCCGCTGCAGACACCGCTTCGAAAGGGATGAGATTGCCATTGCAGTAGTGCAGAATACAATTTAGGACAAAAGTCTTGCCAGTACCGCCCGGACCATCCAGAAAAGCCATGTAAGGCGTACCATTGTTCACTGCTTCCATGATCGGTCTAATGACGGACCTCTGCTCGACAGTCAACAATTGGAGCATTGCATCGTACTTGCGAATGCTCTCCTGGGGATAAACAATATTGCTTTGATCGGTCCTGTCAACATCTGGAAGGTTTAACTCAAAAAGGAGCGCATGATCGACGGCTCAAACGCCCACAGTCTCCAGGGACGATTCCATTGATACAATGATTTTCTCGAGTTGAAACAATGCATAATTGTGGACATGCTGAGGCGATGGCTTGAAATGTGGGTTCAAACGTTTGAGCTGATGCTCACAGTCGTCTGAGAGGTTATCAATGTGTTGTGACCATAATTCGTCCGGGTTAGCAGGCGAACTGTGGCACAAAATAATTGCTAACATGCGCCTGAGCTGGTGCCCGGTTTTCCACACTGCAGCTTTGCAAAGGCTCCGATGATAATGTTGATCGCTTAATAGAGGTCCCAGCTTGTCAGCAGCTTCACGATACGTCAGCAACGTAACCCCATCAATGGTCCTGAGGTCTTGGCAAGAAGTTGGACCCCGAATGTGAGACAGCAATAACCGAAGGTAATAAAGATTGCCTCTCTTGATATTGGCAAAGTAAAGTACACCCTCCCCACCGCAATTGCTCCGTTCTTCCGAGTAGTTAATGACTTGGTCTTCTGATCCCACACGAAATGTTTTGGCACCTCCTGATACTTTAATGACCAAATGGTTTTGTTTGATTGGCGCAGTTTAGCGTTCTCCTTACAAAGCCTGAAAAACTCGGTCAGGGTGGTTCGTGCGGCTCGTCCGGTTTCAATCGCTCTTCGCAACCCATCCTCATTTTGGAAGTGGACCGTTTGATTATCCTCGGTATGTAGAGCCAAGCGTTGGACTGGTGGGTATCGCCCCACAATCGCGTACTTAAGCAGCCGCCAAATAGCTGAAGCAATCCGTTAGTCCATGCAACTCCAAACCACACACAGATCAAGAGCTTACCTTCAGGGGCACTGATGAAACGTGCATTAAGGTATGCCAGTATTTCATCTGGGGTCTCGTCGCCTTCAAGTTGAGCCATGGTTCTGTCGTGCCCTTTTAGTATGTACTTGAACAGGTACTTGATAGCTCTGATGCTGGCTGCCACTTCTACGTTGATGTGACACTTATACTTAAGGAGCAAAAATCAATTATAGGGTACAACACTGCCGTTATCGTACTCCACTGAACCTTTGATAAAATGCCTGCCATTATCCGGTCGCTTGTAAGTGGGGTAAGAGTCATCAGCCAAAGATGTGGTCTCAATCAGAGGCCTTGGGAATCCGCAAGTACACTCTGAGCCATTCCAACACGGGAACTTGCAACATGGGCCGTGTAGCATGTGTTGGGTAACCAAGTCGTACAATTGTGACTCGGGTTGAGGGTCAGGTAATTGAGCCGAAATCAGGCAATCCACGTCCTCCGTCGTTACTGGTCTTGATTTACCGTCCAAAAAGAGAATGAGATGACAATGCGGCAGGCCTCTTTTCTGGAATTCAATTGTATAGACGTATGCAACCACCACCCCAAGCCTGTCCCGTTTGATCAGATCATCGAGCAAACAATGAAGTTTGATATAAAACACTCGAGCCACCAGGTCAGGCCTATCATCAGACGTTTGACCATCTTCTAACTCATCCATTATCTCGGTCCATTTGGGATTCGCTGTCATCGTGATGAAAAGACTGGGATTACCATACTCCGCGACCAAGCTCATTGAGTCCTGGTACAGCTTTTGCAGATGCCTAGGCCCTCCAATGAAGCTCAAAGGAAGAACAACCCTGCGCCCCACGATTTTGTCCTTAGTCTCGTTTCCTAACGCCTCGATGGCACCATGGTACATTTCGGCACGAATCTCGTTCTGGTGGAAACGCAGATATTGAAGTCGGGAATGCTCAACGCATATATACATGTCGACGGCAAACTCTTGGAATAAGCGACCCGAGGCCAATATAACAGAGTAAGATGGTCGCTTGAATAGTAAATAAGCAAACCAATCCAGGTTCGTCACGTCGCCCTCAGGGTCTATCAAAATGTCATCAGTCAGTAACAGATCGTAGCAGCTAAAAATAAAACAACTTACTGCTAGGGGTTGGATTTTTAAAGCACTTGTGCCACATTTGCAAGCCGTATAAGAAAAGAAGCGGGTATTGAAGCGCGAAGTATCCGGTGTGGAGGTCAGAAATCCGCTGGCGCCGACCTGATTTCCTGACCAAAATGATGTCTCTCTGCCTCTTCCCAACATTTCCATCACCGTCAACAATCGCCGCAACCTCATTCGCAGTTGGCAAGTTGTAACAACGATGGTCGGCACCTGGAGCAACCACCGTCTTGATCCGTAGGGTTTTAACAACTCGACTATTACATATTGCACTTGCGGACTTAAATAATTTCGCATATGGATTGTGCCGGTACATAAATTCCTGGAATTGATAAAGGATATTGGGGTCCAGGTCCAACCCAGACCGTTCGACTCGGAGACGTGCTTCTTCATGACCTCCAGTACCATAAGTGAAGATTTGAGCGAAACCAGGCTCACCCTCCTTGAGAGGCATCAGGGAAGGGATATTATGAGATAGTTGCCCATTAATACGAAATACATAATGCCCAGCCTGGCCCAAGACGTTGGAATCGAGCGATACACCAAGAGAGGTGAATGACAGTGCATTGTTGCACTTCTGAATCTTTTGGCAGAAATTGATTGATCCTGTAGAACCAACTCAATCAGTGTTGCACTAAAATTTGCAGATGTAACTGGTAATACTCACGATTATCGTTCCCTTTAAGCAAATCACGGAAAAAGCCAGGCACTGGCTCATCGACCAAGTCAGGGAAATACCTCACAGGTAAATCAACATCTCCATGCCGGCAGCAATTATTAAACGTTGCATGCTCAAGGTTACAATCCTTCAGTCAACGTTCGAGTTTCCATCTAAATGCCCCACAGCCTTGGCATTGATTGGATTGAGGACCGAGGCTGAATGGCAATTCAGCACGCAACCGGTGTAATAGGTTTGCTTCACTCGCAAACGCTTCTTTCCGTATCGCTGGCCCTTTTGCGGCTCTTCTTGGCGGCATTGATAATATATGAATGATAGTAAATCAACTGCAAAAATTTAGTCAAGACTGAACGGGCAGTAAGATGATTTGCACTGACTGTGATGAAGGCAATCAGGCCACCAGGCTGGTGTTTGCAGGCTATTTGTCCACCAACACCTGCCTGCTGAAAACATCTTCAACCGAGACCTGTCATGCATGCGCGTAGTCAAAGTCGCCAGACATAATTGCCCGCCACCACGGAAACAGGCCAATCGGAAGAATGAGGCACAGAGTTGCAAGCGGCTTTCATGCCTAAACCCCTGTATCAAAGACCGGATGTGTGTGATTTGTGGGATGGACAGAATGAGCCGTGAATAACACACCCCATGCCAAACCGTGACGTATGCGGTGTTCACACTACACCAAATGTAATCTTTACCGGGCGGTAAAGAAAACTACTGACATAGAAAAGTCCTGAGGCAACCAGAACAGAGCTAAAAATCTGAAAAGATATGCACCTTGTTCCTAGATGTTGGGGCGTCATGATGAGTATTTTTTTGTATTTTACACGCAGATATTGGTTAATGTACTAACAATAAAGGCTGAAAATCATCAAAAACCACCTGTGTGCACCTGAAAGCACCAATTCTATTGGACAATACTGTCACCTGTATCATCCAATGTCATTGGAATACACCCTAATAGAAAGTCTTAGAAACATAGTTGCTTCTATGGTGGAATATAAATTTCTCTAAGTCCCATTTTTATAAGGGGGGGGCCTTGCCCCCCCGCACGCACCAAAGCTACATCTCACTACCCAAGCAAATAATCTTACTACCCAAGTACCAAACTTACTACCTGAGTAGAAAACTTACTACTCAAGTGAAAATTTTGTCAAAAACTCACTACTCAAGTCAATATCTTACTACTCAACTCAATATCTTACTACTCAATACCATATCTTACTACTCAATACCATAAATTACCACTCAATACAATAAACTTACCACCTAAGTAGAAAACTTACTACCCAAGTAATCAACATTGTCTAAAACTCACTACTCGAGTCAATATCTTACCAGTCAACTCAATATCTTCATACTAAACACAATATCTTACTACCCAACTCAATATCTTACTACACCACCAGGTCCAAACCTCAAAACTCGAGTCAAATTCTCACTACGTAAGGTCAAGTCTTACTACTAAAGTCAACAACTCACTACTCGAGTTTAAACATTACAGTACCTCACTACCCCAGCAAAACTCACTAGCTTCCTCTCAATTTCTCATTACCACACACCAAGATTACGACGGAACAAGATCACGGCTCAAAGGCTCCACCACACAGTGTCAGCTCTCGAAACATAATCTTATCTCCTCAGCCTTTCACCATTGGACAGGAAGTCTTACACGTACGCAAGTGTTACTGCCTCACGATACAACTCTTACCCATCTTATCTAACTGCCATCCTCTCATCACCACATTGCAGCACATCATCCACAATGATGCGATCCGGCCGTCAAAGGAATGACAAGAACTCCTTGCCCACTCCCACAACCACCGTTCAAAAACAACGATTAGCTCAAAGCCAATCTAACCCAGTCCACACAAACCGCCCCAACAAGCGAGCACATTTTGACAACGACGACGACATGGATTTCGAGGACGAAGACGACGACCTTGATAACGACCTCACTGAAGCTACACCCGATTCCACTGACACCGATTCATTGATAACCCCCAACCTAACAAACTATCACGAACTTGGCATGCAATGGGGTCCTTCGCGAGCCGAAAAGCACCTCGCCGACCTCAAGCTACACAAGAACAACCAAATGTCAGGCATGGGGCTCTATGAGGCACAAGCCCTCCAATCGCAATACGAGTTAGATAAAACAATGCTATGCATTGTCTTGAAGGTCAGCAGAAGAGTCATGGACGACGCGCTGTAAGTACGGTTATCTCATCTCATAATGTGATTGGTTTTTGAATTTCAAGACACTGATTTGTTTTCTTACACCCCACCCAGGTTAGAAGGCCCCCTCGCACGCGAGCCAAACATGTATAACAATTATCAAACATATAGTAAGGTTGCCACCTTGACTTCCAGTAAGTTACGACACAGACACAAATGTACAGTAATCAACGCTTAACTCTCTACGTTTGCAATGTAGTGCCACCCAAGGGAGTTTCCGAAGGCTTTAGCGAACGCAATAAGATTGTAGGTTCAACTTGGTCAACATACGTTGATGAAGAGCAAGATGTCTTTACCCCCAGGCTCTTTGAGCGCCTCTGCGTAGCAACCAGTGAGGCGTATGCACTCACCACAACTCCGCTTGGGATCTCAGCTTCGGTCGCTGTTCAAGAAGCAACCCCTGATACCCGTCCTTCCGATCTCGAACCACTGACCCAGGAGGAACTCGAAACCTACGTACCAATATTCGAACGCTTGGTTAATTTACAAAAAGTTTTGCGTGACCTCCACCAGGGACGACTTTGGAGACACAGCGGCAAATCAACCAACCGGTCATCTGAGCTGCTAATGAGGCGCGAAATTAGTAAGATCATTCGTCAGGTAAGTCATTACTCTTTACCTACAATCATCACATAACTAACTTGCTTCATCCTTCCAGCTTAATGTATTGGTGCATCATTTCAACTTACAATTCCACCTGATGATTGCATGTTGGAACCCGGGCACCTCCAACGCCCGAGCCCTCTACCAGTCTGAGCATACATCATGTGAAAGATGGGTTTGGCTACAACAGAAAAAGCATCTTCTGGAGTGTTTTACCTTCGAATCTACCAAGGCGCCGGGGCATCTCCGAGCGCAACATGGTGACCCCAAGCCGCAAACAGAATCCGCAGCCCGACAAGCTGCAAAGCGATCCGAACTAGCGACGTCCCTAAATGATCTAATAGGTAAGTTTCTGTCTTGCACATACTTCAAACGTGGCTGACCACATATACCTTTGACCAGCAGCTCCTTACCTTACCGGTGGGTATAAGGGCAAAGGAGATGCTCACCCCAAGTGTTCGAATTTGGGTGAAGCTTTTGCCAAGAAGAATTTCCAAGGCAACGTGGCTCTTGGCTTTCACTGTACCTCTGACAGCCAGGTGACCGACGAGATGATATCGAAGGGTCCCGGCTGTCTTACCAATGACGAAGTGGAAGCGTGGCTCAAAGATATTGAATCAAACAATTACACTATTATCAAGGTGGAGAACACCAAGACAAAGAAACGTAAGACCAAGAAACGTGAAAAAAACGACCAATTAACTGCTGCAGAGGCCGCCCTAGATGACGAGGAAACAATACCCGAGAAAGAGTTGCAGCCGACCTCTTTGAAGAGCAAATCCCGACCCGCAGTTCTTGACGATCAAAGCCTAGATCCAAGCCTAGAGGAGCTGTAGCTGACCAGATCCGCTGCAGATGAGTAGATGGTACTTATTGAGTAGATCTTCACATCTTAGCAAGCAGCTTTTGACCTGCTCAAAGTGGAGGTTGGGAGTTAATGAAGGAAGTGTCAGCTGACACTTCCCTCATTATTTTTCAACCCTCCTCACAGATCGACCCTTTTTTTAACGTCTTTTCCCATTTCTTCACTATTACAACCTTGATCATAAAAACTTGACAGGGTTTTCCTCACAAGAAATATCAGTTTTGTTATCTTCCAAGTTTGATCAGTTTTTTTATTTTCATAATTGTTCAGTTTTGATTTGACGTATTTAAAAATTACCGCAATATTCAAACAGTGCAATAGGCAAGCAGTGCTGAGCCGCAAAAAGAGACTCCGGTCACTATGTCCCAACATTTCATGTGTAAAGATTGAGATTTCACCAACTGTTGAGTTTCTACGGTTCGGTACTATCCGCGGTACAGCTTACATAGGACCAACCTGTCATTGTTGGTTCTTTCATGGTTTTAAGACTTAACTCGTAAGTACATACTGGGATTTGGCAGTATGTTTCAGGCGTGCCCCAGCCACTTGAAAATCTCTGACACCACATCCATACACCCACCATTTTGGATCTCAATAATATCTTCGACAAGCAAACGTAATCTACCTCGAATCCATCGAGTCCACTTCGTATCTAGTTATACCTGATCCACCTTTGACCAAACCTCATTTAAATAACTTGATATCTCTAACGCTTCCATAGTAAGTTTTCAAATTGGTTTCAATTTTTTCCTGTTTCACCCCACCAAACTCAGGAAGCGATTAAATACAACCCGCACTCACCCTCACCCACTTCTTGCATGGGTCATGCTTCCCGACGGTTTTCCCAAACCGTAGATGTTCCTTTAATTCAACACGATGTGCTGACACATTCCCTTTTATCCATCCTATTCGGCGACAGACAAAACAACGAATCGACTTTGAATAGAGTTCTACCATTCAGCCTGATCCACCTTTAACATTCCAATCTCAACAACTTAACCCTATCCATACGACCCGGCCATAAACAAAACATTCGCAAACGGTGCCCACCCTTTGCATAGTAAGATTTCGAATTGTTTCAATTTGGTCCTCACCTACTCCTACTCCCCCCATCTCAGGAAGCGATAAGACACGTTTTAGCATGATGGAGTGGGTTTGCGCGGGTTGGCATAGATAGCCTCTGCAAAACTTGAAATACAACCCGCACTCCTACTTACCCACTTCTCGCATAGGTCTTGCTTCCAGACCTGTTTCTCCAACCGTAGATGTTTGTTCAATGATTTTTGTATGCTGACAGATTCCCTCTTATTCATACTATCCTATTCTTATTCATACTATCCGATTCATAACAGTCGAAATTATGACAACTAAAATGGATTCTGAATGGCCTACGCATAAGAGGACCAAATTCAACAGTCGCAACAGGTATTATTCACACATAAATGTTACTAGGGAAGAAGGTAACTAATTTTGTCATGCCTATTTGCTTCCACAGGGATCCGGACGACAAAAGTGAAGCTGGTGAGACCCACTTACCTGGAGTTACCTACCTATCAGACCTCCAAAGCGGTATCGATGCGAAGAGACAAAAGGGATTTACGGACAATGATGTAAGTAATAAATCGTCCCATGCAGAAATGTTACTCCGTCTCTGATAAATCTCTACAAATGTCTCTTAGCTTCCGAAGCCTTTTGCCATGGCGAAATCCTATGCTCATGTACCACATGAGTACCTGGCTCCCGATGGATTTCCGAAATCAGACTGTTGGCTGAAACCTGCATGCAAATTTGCTGTATTAAGCAAGGAGAATGCGAACGATGGCAAAGGAGGAGTAGTGTATGTCGACTCTTTCCTCATTTCAGCCAAAGTCTAAAATGATGAATATAACTTACTCTACTGGTCTTTTTCAGGCGAAGAGCACTGGACCGATATCGCGAACAGGGACTGCAGGATGTACCTGCTAACCCTCCTTTACACACTACCAAATTGCGGCGAACAGAAGGACCGTACATACTACCCCAGTCCTCCCATCTATTTGATTCAAAGTTAACATCTGTCCTCTCTCCCTTAGCCGACATGCTGCACGGGGCATCAAAAACCGGTCTGCAAGAACAACTGACCAGTTGGCCAACTCAGCTAACCGCTTAAACCAGAAGTACGATTGCCAGCGATATAGGCTTAATGACCCTGTTCTACCTTACAAAAACTACGACCGTTCAATGGAAATCATCCACAACTGCTACAAAATTGTCACTCACGGAAAAGGTCAATTTGTGGATAGGGACTCACATGATTTAATCTTTACCTACTCTTACGAAGATTTGGAATCATTAACACCGGACCAGCGGGACAAGCATCAACAAGACGTCTCCACCATTTTAATGTCAACTAAGCTGTTTAAGAGGCTACCGACCCCTAAACCATTGACTCATCCAAAGTTTACTAGTACTCCTGCAACTACGATGGCGAATACCATACCTGCAAGTGAGTCATAATTTATCAAGGACCAGCCGTGCGCATTCCATGTTTCAATGGCTAATGTACTCCCTTAATTTGGACAAGCTACCCCAGTTTGGTTACCTCGCAAAAACGATCCACCCTCTTCTCCTCTAACGTCTTTGCCCCCTTCGGAACCCGAGGTGAAAGACTGTCTCCATCAACCTCAGACAGCTATGCGTGATACTGTTGGCAAAGAATCCATCCATAACGTCCGGTCCTCGTCTCCTCTAACTTCGCTTCCTTCGTCCGATGCGGAAGATGTTGTCCCCGTAAATCCCAGGAAGCGTAAGGTCCAACCAGAAGCAAAGGATTTGAAAAGACCTAGCAGCTTGATTTCCAAGAAGAAGTTTTTGGACGGGGGAAAAAACGTTGCAAAGTTGATGAAGCCTAAGCGGACAATTACGAAAAAAATTTCTTTTGGCAAATCTGTTTTGAATAACAAGAAGCGTAAGCGATTGATAACAACAAATGGCGCTCTGATCCATGGTAGAATGCATTGTTTTGGCCAAACGGTTGGATATTCACGCAACATTCTCCTAGGGCCTTACCGCCCTTATAAAGGTTCATCTCGAACTTTATACCAAAAATTTCTAGATCGACTACCTGATTTTGGTGCACGTATTGGTGGGAGATTCAAAGGTTTTTGCGACGAAGGATTTCTCCTTTCTCGCCGGCTACTTAACACACTTCGTGCCCCTCCAATGACGGCTACGTCAAAGCTTCAACCATCTGGCCCGCTCGACTTTGCAGCCAACTTCGCATTTACCCTTGGGAATTTTTATAACAAGCCTCATACCGACAACGATAAAGGCAAGGTTTACTGTATATGGTACCCGATAGATAGTCTAAGTGGTCAGATTGTTACTGAATGCGAAGGCTTTGACCTTGAAGGCGGGTGGTTTATCTTCCCAGAATATCGAGTCGCTTTTAAATTTGGTGGTAAGTCTGCAGTTCAAATTGCATGGAACGGAAAATCTACTTTCCACCATACTCTGCCTTCTAAAGAAAGATTTGATTTGAACAAGCAAGGCAAGAAAGTACATTACACACGCCTTGGGTGTTCATATCAAATCACTCACAAGATGGCGAGAGCAAGTGTGAAGATTGGGACGGAAGAACAGTACAATCATACATCTAACTGTACGGAATGCGAGGTGTGTCAAAGTGACAAATCAAATTTCAAAAAGTGAAATTTCATTATCCCCGGGTCAGAAATTGACAAAACTGGATTAAACATCAGATTCAACCCAAATACTGGTCTGAAACCTCCTGTATTTGGGATAAAACTATACTTTCTGCCAGTTTTTACCGGTTCCCAAACCACAACCCTGAATTTGACCGCTGAGTTGGCACTTTGGCACAAATGATACACAAAAATTTCAAAAATCAAATTTCAACACTACAAAATTCACATACTCGCAAAACAACTAAGCACAAAAGTGATTCTGTACCATAACTCCTTTGCACATCCACACAAGACAAGTTTACTGGTAGCATATTATCATGGAATGGACCCACTAGCCTTCTGGGTGATCTATTACGTCAGTTGATTGACTGCAGCTGCAGACTGGCGGAGTGGGTGGTCACAGGCCCTGGCCACCGCACAATTATGGTCAAACTTTAAAAGGTAGACTACCTAGCCTTAGGTGGTCCATCTCTCCAGGCGATCAACTGAAGAAATCTGTAGGTCCTGCCCTAGCCACTGCCTGCTTATGGTCAAACTTTAACAGAGAGACCACCTAGCCTTAGGTGGTCTATCTCTCCAGTCGATCGACTGAAGAAATCTTCAGCTTTAGACCTGGCCACCGCCAGCTTATGGTCGAACTTTAATAGACAGACCCCCTAGCCTTAGGTGGTCCATCTCTCCAGTCGATTGACTGGAGCCACAGATTGCCCCAGCCAATCAAATGGCCTCACCTGGAGCTCCAGTCGATCGACTGAAGCCACAGATTGCCCCAGCCAATCAACTGGCCTCACCAGAAGCTCCAGTCGGTCGACTGGAGCAGTCTGTGGCTCCAGCCAGTCAATTGGGGCCATCAGGAGCTCCAGTCGATTGACTGGAGCAGTCTGTGGCTCCAGCCAGTCAATTGGGGACATCAGGAGCTCCAGTCAATCGACTGGAACAGTCTGTGGCTCCAGCCAGTCAATTGGGGCCATCAGGAGCTCCAGTCGATCGACTGGAGCAGTCTGTGGCTCCAGCCAATCAACTGGGGCCATTGGGAGCTCCAGTCGATTGACTGGAGCATTCTGTGGCTCCAGCCAATCAACTGGGGCCATTGGGAGCTCCAGTAGATCGACTGGAGCAGTCTGTGGCTTCAGCCAATCAACTGGGGACATTGGGAGCTCCAGTCGATCGGCTGAAGCAGTCTGTGGCTCCAGAAAATTGACTGGAGAGATGGACCACCTAAGGCTAGGTGGTCTCTCTATCAAAGTTTGACCATAAGCAGGCAGTGGCCAGGGCGGGAGCTACAGATTTCTTCAGTCGATCGACTGGAGAGATGGACCACCTGAGGCTGAGAGATGTACCACCTAAGGCTAGGTGGTCTCTCTATTAAAGTTTGACCATAAGCTGGGAGTGGTCGGGGCAGGAGCAATCAACTGCAGATTTGAATTGAGGACCTTTTTTTAATTTCTCCATTAGACAATTTCAAAGCGGGTAAATCTGTTTAATTTCATTCTTTGCAAAGGTCCCCTTGACATTTACCATTCATATTCTTCAAACACATTATGATATTGAACTCATACTTTTTTTTTCCCTTTGTATGTATTTGTGTAATTAAATTTTGTTATCCTTTATGGGTGATTGATACACTGTTGGCCTGCAAACACAACTATTGGCTAATGCTTGTCTTCATACCCACCAGGAGCAAGTGCGCAATGCTGTGTCCACAACATGTCACATCACTTACTCAAACCACCATCTGGCCATCCTTGCTTGTATTCATATACATGTTATACAATCTGCAAACCACAAGCTGGCCCTGGATTAGTTTCCTATAATTTCAGAGTCGCAAGTGGAGGAGACTCATTGAAGCCCCAAGTTTCAAACATCCCATCCGTCAAGTGCATCCATCAAGGTATGCTTTCATCAATCTTCCGTAACTTTCATAGCTTCAGATTTTCATCTCATGTTGTGAGGGTGAAGGGGTAACAGACAGTGACTTGAGGATATGTGAACTCTTTAGGGGTAAGAATAGGTGACTGAGGGGAACCCCGACAACTGGTCTAGCCTCTTGATTCACATATCACCAAGTCCTGGGTGTTCCACTCCATTCTCATTATATGTGGATGATCATTCTGAAGCATTCCACATGAACTGCCCTTTGTTTTCCTCTTTCTGGAGCCAGGTTTTTGGGGTGAGATGTTATATCTCTCGGAGCAAGGTAACCCTAATCATGACTAACTCACTTATCTTAAACAGATGGCTAAGCACCCATCTGATGCCAAGAAGAAAAAGGAAGCTGTAAAGCGGGCTGCGCATAAGGCAGCTAGAGATGCTAAGTGTAAACAGGAGAAGAAAAAGGAGTTACAAGACACAAATTGTGAAGCTGTGCAAGTTCACACAAGAGAAACTGTCAGCTCTAGACTAAACATTAGAGGTAAAGTTGAGATATCAAGAGGTGAACTATGCGTACAAAATGTATTTCTTCAAGTTTGAAAGGTGATTTCTAAACTAGGGAGGAAATAGTTTTCAATTCTTTGTAAGGTAAACTGTTTAAACCTACAATCTTTACTTGTAGTTGTCTACTGTGCGGAAGAAGAACCTCTGCCAGTGTATCAATAAGTGCAGTCACTTATTAATCTGGCTAGGTAAACATGTACTAACATCTAAAATCTTTGAGTGACACTTCAGTGTTGGTTTGATAAGATACAACTTTATCAAAAGAATATAAGAAACTTAAGGAGCTTCATTTGAATAACTTATGGTTAAACAATCTGTGGTGTCCCAAGGAAAAAGAGCAAGATAACAAATGGAAGGAAAAGTGACTGTTTGATGACTGTGGTAAAGCTAAAGGAAATGACTACAAGTAGAGTTTTTTAAAGTATAACTATCAAGTTTTTGAGCTGGGTAGATTTGTTCAGTTGATTCCATTTTTAACGTAAAAAGTAAAATGAAAATGGGTTAGAAGGTGATAAGTTATTCTGGTCAACCAGACAAGCTGGCAAACACAAGTACAGAAAGAAAGTCAGTAGGCAGAAATTTTTGTTTTCACAATTAAACCTCAAGGTGAATGCTTGTACATGTCTGCTTCACAGGTACTTGTGCAGAGAATGAGGTGACAGATGATAGTGATGACAGCTGTACCGATTTTTGCAGATTTTCTATGGTTGGCTTGGAAGCAATGGAAGCGATGATAGCAGTAGATTTAAAGTGATGTGAATTTACAGTTACAGTTGACTTGTGTTAAAGAATCACTTTTGTGTTTGGTCGTTTTGCGAGTATGTGAATTTTGTAATGTTGAAACTTGATCTTTGAAATTTTTGTGTATTATTTGTGCCAAAGTGCCAACTCAGTGGTCAAATTTGGGGTTGTGGTTTGGAAACCGCTAAAAACTGGCAGAAAGTATGGTTTCCTCCCAAATACAGGGTGTTTCAGACCAGTATTTGAGTTGAATCTGGTGTTTAATCCAGTTTTGTCAGTTTCTGACTCGGGGATTCTGAAATTTTGATTTTTGAAATTTCAAGTTGTCACTTTGGCACATGTCGCATTCCGTATAACTGTGAGCGCGTAATATTGGATGTGGATGACCTATTAGAAATGAAAGATAGAAACTGGAAGAAATAAGAGGAATCGTTGTAAATAAAATTTTAATGTCTTTTTCCTAGGCTTTCTGACTACTATGTTGAATATGAAGTGGTGAACGCCACAAAATGTGGGAGCTTTTGGAAAAGCAATATAGCAATGACTTTTTTGTGATTTCTGTTTTCATGTTGATTACAATGACCTTGCAGCGACTAGACGTGGGAAGTGTGCCACAACATGATCTTTATGATTCTTTGCTCAAAAGAAATTATATAGTTTTGTGGTTTCTAAATCTACTACATCTCATTCTCATCATCGCCATTGCTCAGTTGACATTGATTCTGAATAGATCATAGTATGTTAATTAGGCATTCACTGGCATAGTATGTCATTGAAGGACATCAATTTGTCTTTCTGACTATGTTGAATATGAACTGGTGAGCGCCAAAATATGTGGGAGTTTTTGGCAATGTGAGATAGCAATGAATTTTTGTTATTTCTATTTGCATGTGAGTCACGATGATGCAAATAGATAGACGTGGGAAGTGTGCAACTTCATGATCTTTATGATTCTTTGCTCACAATAAATCTTATAGTTTTGTGTTTCCTAAATCTGCTACATCTCATTCTCATCATCGCCATCGCTCAGTTGACATTGATGCTGAATAGATCAAAGTATGTTAACTAGGGATTCACTGGCATGGTATGTCATTGAATGACATACCTTGATTCGACCAAAACCATCGCATTCATACTATACTACATCACATTTAGTAAAACATGGCTGTAACCTTGTTATCTTGGTCTTTCGAAGACCAAGAACGTTGGCCCCTTTGTCATTTAGTGCTTCCATCTTATCATCATCTCCTTTCTCATATATTTAGTGCTTCCATCTTATCATCATCTCCTTTCTCATATATATATTTAATTACTCCCTCTATTTAATTTTCAATCTGATCTTCCTTATTCTTGTTCCATGGTTGTACATTTTGTTTACTTTCACTCTTTTCATTACTTTTTGTGGAATAACCAATGGTCAATGGTCTTATCTTTGTTGATTCACCTATGGTCAATGGTCTTATAATTGACCATAGGTGTATGAATAATATGAACAATACATTGGACTTCATGCTCGATTGGACATATAGCGTTTAATCACTTGGAGTTTTTTGGCAAGGGGTGATGTTATGTTTACCCTGCGGGAGAAGGTGAGTAAGAAGATGTTCTTCCACATCACACGGCTTGCAAGAAGCGAGGAAGCATTCCCAGTTTGCGCGTTCATGGTCTTGCGGTGTAGCTTAAATGCTGGTGGTCAAGGTGCGAGGCATTCATGACCTTGCTTGCATTTCTCCAGGTTGGCCATCCATTATAATTCACAAGCCAAGCCTAGCCGTTCTTAAGGCACGTACGAATTGTGTCTAGACTTGTGCCTCTTGCTAATAGTCACACTTTACACCAAAGTGTCTAGATTTCTTTATCAGGCCTTTGGCTTATAGTCACACTTTACACCAAACCAGGTTAGTAATTGTTACGCATCTTTGACAGTGAAAACCTTAAAACAAATTTCATTATGACTAAATTGACTTTCAGTGCACTGAAAATCATTGGACTATTTCAAGCTGTTCAATGACTTTGGGGCCAACTGTTGTGACATGTTGAACATGTTTAACATTAAACGAAAGCCACGATTGATTTGACCTTGACCACTATAGGAGTGGAGATATGTTAAGGAGTGGCTTGTTAAGGAGTGGATAATCAACTAAGGAACGCTTGAGTTGATTAGCCACTCCTTAACATATGTCCACTTTTATAGTGCTCAAGGTCAAATCAATCGTGGCATAAAATCTTACTTGATGTAACTTTCACATCAAGTAAGATTTTATGCTTGATTGCCTTGGTTGATATATTAAGAATTGTTATGAGGGAGCCCATAAGTGTCATCTTCAGTGTCATCAATTGGCATTTGTAAAAGAAATAGATGTGGCATATAGGAAATCAGAATGAGATGACAATGCCAAAGTGAATCTGGAGAGACACCAATAAGAAAAAGAGGCGGCATATAAGAAATCATATTTAACAAAGGCCCATTCTTCCATTTACTGGCAAGAAGCTGCCCTAAACATATCAAACACATTGAAAAGGGGACACATTTTGGTTATATTTGCCTTTGTTAAATGGTCTTTCCTATACTGTCGACTTTTTATCTTTGATTACTTACTGTTATTGTCATAGCTCTCCACGATTGGTGAATCCTGCTTGGATAAATGTGCTTTCCTATCTGCTGCATCATTTACATTCGTGGAATTTGATCAAAGATTATGAAGAACAATCATAATGTTTAGCGATATATCTTACTTAATTCCTTATGCAAAGTAAGGTTTCGAAGGGCAGTGGGAATAAGGACGGTGAACATAATTCCATCCCTTGTTATCATCAGTGTTTGTCGTTGATGAGAATCGTTAGCTAGCATGCGCGATATAACTAAACGCCATGCCGATTTCACGGCGTTTAGTTATATTGACGTGGATTCTGTCGATCTAAGTACTCATTCAACACTTCTTATATCTCGGGCTCAACACTGGGATATAGAAAATGAAAGAGTTCGCCAAGTTTATTTTGTAGAGATTCGACATTTCGTCAAATCTCTACCAAATAAAAGAGTTCGCCAAGCTGACAGGTTGATGCTTAATGACTTTTCGTCAACTCTCTCCATTACATCATCACCTTCATAATGGTGCTATCACTATCGCAGGCTTTTTATGGTGTAATTGTTCCACCGTGACTTTTTCTTACTGAACCAGATTATGAAGAACATTCTCGATGTTTGACGACTTTTTCTACATCATCAAAAAGGTCCTTCAAAATTACAATCGCAGGGTTTTCATTGTCTCATTTTGCTTATCTTTAGTGAAAAAGTTTATGAACATAATATTTGTATTATCCTTATTGAGACAAAATATGAATGCAATCTTTACAAGTGGTATGCGAAATCTGAGGGCAATATTACGTAATATCAAAATACATTCTCCCAGTCTAGAATCATACCTTCATGTCCATCGATGCCGTCCTCTAACTCCATGTTACCAATGTCATTTGCCTCCTCATCTGCCCACTCTTGATGCTAGATGATTGGAAGCGCAAGTAAGTCGATTGCCGTTCCGGAAACACGAGCGCGCATATGTTGCCACCCTAGTACCAGCGTATTGTCATCTTCAGCCCTACCTTTGACGAAGTCGGCGGTAGATTCCACAACCTCCATCAAACCCCTATCCCAAAGCGCCCATAGGCGACATGTGCGTTTAGCCAGTCCAGAGTGGACTGAGTTCCACTCTGCCAACCGCACCCCGCCTACAAATTGAAAACAAATACAAAGAAAGAACATAGTGAAACATGATTTAATTTGATCGAGTTCTGCAAGTATAAGAATCTAATTACCAATGGCATCATTAGGCTTAGCCCTATCAACGCGCCCAACCAATCAACTGCCGGACCTCACGGCCCAAACGTCGAAGCTCTTCTTCCGAGGCATTATAATTGCAAAGGGCTACTATACCTTCCTTTGTACTCTGGCAAGAAGCCCAAGGCTCGTCGAGATGGTTGAGTGCTACCTCATCCCAAAAAGGATCTAGCATATCCATTGCCATAACTTCGTCCAGAGTAGGTTCCACCAGTCGCTGAGCAGGGCGGTAACGTCTATTGTATTTCCCAGCGTGCCTCAAGTACGTATCTAGTTTTTTCTGCAGTTGTACTCGTTTCTTCTTTCGTAGTTGTTTGTTCCGTGGCTGCTGGGTAGCACCTATAATATAGCCAGTGGTTTATGAGAAGCAATCAACATTGCAATGTTGAAAAAGAAGAAACATGAGGTACTTACCGGTTTTCCTTGCTGCGTCAGCCTTTTGTTGAATCGCATCAACTGCAGCCTCATACAAAAACCCTAGCGCCACCTGGACACTAAGAATCGCCTTAACCCTATTCGCTAACAGTTTCATTGATTGTGAGCGTTTGAAATCAAACACCAATGGGATAGTCTACAAGTCACTTACTTGTACCTTGTCGTGCTGTCAATAATTCAGCATTGCCGAGTTCATCCGCTAATTCTTGTACTTTGGTTTCAAGAGCAACCAGCGACGCTGGTAGATCCAAAAGTTCGTGACGCTGTTCGGCAGTTCGAATTGGGGCATTAGCAGCATTTATATCTGTGAGCTTTTGCCTGAGAGCAAGGAGGAATAAATTAGTATTTTGAACCCACAGTCTGAGCAGAAGACACACAAAAACCCTTGCCTTGCTTCCAAAAGATCCTCCTCTAGAGTGAGCAACACGCCAAGGCGTTCTCGTTTCTCCTTTGACTTGACGCTGATGGCTTTCAGCTGCAATGCACGCTGACGATCCCACTGTGTCTGAAAGTACTCCGCCGTATGCGCTGGGTTCTGCTGTAGATGTTTATTAAGCAATGCCTTACTTGTCAGTAGTTCTGATTGGTATTTTTTGGTTTGGCCAAGCATGAAGGACACTGTTGGGTAGATGCCATTGGTCGGCCTTCATTAGTTGATTACATTGTTCATCGTGGACCCGTAAGGAGATCAGTCAAAGGAGGTACTTGCCAGCTGTCTTTCGCAATTCCTCATTGCGATGGTAGGTCCACAGGTCGAGGCTGACCATACGGCGGTGCTTAGCAGCATACCGGAGCAGTCGTATCAGAGGGGATAACTTAAACCAGACACGCTCGAGACCCTCTCCATTACTTTTCCCCACCCTCCATTAAGGCAAGGGTTATATTCCAGCTGACAACCCCAATTATGGGCGTAAGCGTGGAACAGATCTGTTCCGATCTTGACCTGTTTAGCATAATTTTCATCCGTAAAGACATTGGACTACCAGATTGAAGTCATCGACATCAATTTACAAACTACTGAGATCAAGAGTAATGGAACTCATACCTTCTTAATGGTTTTGTCTAAATTACATCCTATATCGTATAGAATACCAAGGGTAGTCGTGCCATCGCGGTCCTTTTTGAGCAAGTCTAGCAACCACTCTATGAGTGCTAGTGCGTTATGATTTCTGGATATCATTTATGGTTAGCCAAGGAGAAATGAACCCTTGATCGAGAAGAACTTGCTTTTCGCCACTTTGAATAAGATTGATAAATTTCAGAATGTGGTCATGTCTACATGCCATACCCAACAATCCTGACTCATCCATATTTTTGAAATGCCCTCGTCCTCTCACATCGTTAGCTGTGGTGTGAGCTTCGGTACATGCGTCCTATGATGCGACCAAAGGCAATGTGAACCATAAGTCATTATCTGGTAAAACATATAATTAGGCACCTTACACCTTGGATATCTAAGTCAGGGATACCCTTCAAAAAACGTTCCTTCGCATCCACCAATTTCGGGTCAAGGAAAATTGAAGGTCGAGGAGGTAGCGATCCTGGTATTGGCACACTTGCGCGTGCATGTCTTTTATGCTGAAAGTTTCCATCGAGGCAAACCACAACATGTGGCTCCTCTGGCCTAAGTCGGCCGACCGGAGGTCCAAAGCATTTGGCACAGTTTGCCGCTAGCTTGTCGAGGTTCGATAGTTGGAGCTTTTGTTCTTCCAACTCTCGAATTTGGAGATTGATAGCCCAAAAGGCATCGATGGCCACCGTGAAAGGCTGTTGCCAATCTCGCGGCTATTAGATAAACACGTTTGTGTTAGTAACTTGGACATAAATAAGAATTCGGATAATATTGTGCTTACCAAACCATTAGATGTTAGTATTTCAGGACTGCTGTGGTTGAGCACGTCATCTAGTGCACCACAGTATCCTTCGGTTGGCACGGCAAATCGAACCCACTGAGAGTGGTGATGCACCATCAGACGCAGCGAGAACGCAGTGCGCGGCTGCGAGGGGGACGCAGCGAGGTAACCCATCTGCAGCAACCGTTGGGGGTCGGAAAGATCACAAGTTTTGCAAAATGACACTTTGATTTGGGTTCTGGCTGTGTTTGCAAATCAGATCCATTAGTATATGATTGATTTGCGTACTATTCGTACCAGTTTGAGTCAGGGCATCAAGTCCACCTAACTCACATAGAAGGTCAACTAGGTCAACATCTCGTTCAGTCTTCATCGTGCAGTTGCAGGGGGGGCGTAGGTTGGCATTCCAATTGAGCGGGTTTCCCCAATTCGACGTTTTCAACCTAGTTCGAAGGAAGGTGGGTAACATGATGGCGTACTGCCAAGTCCATTTCTTCTCGTGTGCCAGTTGATCTGCTAAGTGCGTTTCTCTTTGCAAGGCCGCTGACATCGGGTCGTCTGCATCTCCACCGACGTTCTCATGGGCTTCACCGGGCAAGAATCGATTCAGGTCAAGATTGTCTTCAGCGTCACCTGGCTCATCCAAAGCTTCGTCGGCAGCAGGTATATTTTCGGCGACCATATCATCTAATAGCGGTCGTGGTTGGTTTTCCTGTTTGAGCCTTCTGAGCATGGCAGCGTTTGAAGCCTCAGCATGCTCCAAATCACGCTTGCGGTGCTTCGCTAGTTGTTGTTGCAGGGGCGTACAAGGTTTGGGTTGCCTACTACGTTCATTTACCCCGCGGATGATACGACACGAAGTCATGATGGAACGAGGAAACGGTGTGTCAGCTTGTTTGCTAACAGGGGTTCCATCATGAAGGGACACTTATCTCAATGATATACCAAACGGGTGATTGATAAGCCAGCGCATTGGTAATGCACAAGAATTCCCAATTGGGAATTGAGTAAGCTGGTGGCAGATCGAAGGTCAGTTGCTGTGACTATAATGTGCTGTATTTTCCCAAATGGTAAATAAACTAACTTGTCCTGCCCAATTGGGATATTGATATTCCCAAACGGTACGTATATTGTGAATCCGCTGGAGACCAATAATCCAGTAGCTTCATGACCTTCGAGATGAGAGATCCAAGCATTTCTTGATGTCATAAATCGAATTGACTTGAGTAATTCAAGAGTAGAGAAATGTGAGATGTGAGTATTTCTTGAGTTCGTATTTCATGAGTGGTAAGTCGAGAATGGACATATCAGAGTATTATGTTTTTGATTGTATCCAGTTCGGGTCCCCGTCCATGTCGGGTCATGTACACATGACCCGGTGTACATGGTCCGAAATAGCGGACCATGTCAAATCAAGGACCAAGGCAAGTCCAGCTTGGGTCACAGGGCCCGATCCACATATCCCACTATAGCGGATATTGGGATATCCAAATATGTTACTCACATGTCAACTCAATAAGCTTAATACCCGATTTTATGAAGTTAAGCTGAGTAAGTTTCCAGATTACTGTTACAGCAGCACGAAGAAAGCAGAGGAGTTTGGCAAAAAGTGCATTGCTCGACTGTACATTGCTTAATACATTGCTCAGATCAGAAAATGAGAGAACTAATTAGAGAGATAAATGATAAAAGAGAATTAATCAAAGACAGAATTAACAAAACATTGAAATATTACAAGCATTGGATTCAAATATTCAATCGATGCTAATTGGTGGGCCATTTTTTTTCTTGCGCCGATTTTTATTAAGACTTTTCATATATTGGGCGTGTGATTCTATCGAATGTTGCCAAGCGTCGAGCCAGGATGAGGCCTCGGTTTTATGAAATCGTCTCCAGGTTGCGCAGACGCGTGGAGCTGGGAAGTTGGGTCGTGTGAAATCGAGCAGTAGAGAGACAAAGTGTTGGTTGGCCCAGGCAAGGACAATGGGAGGGTTCAGATTGTAGGGTGTGGAGTACGGGAAGACCATTTGACTATACGCGCCAGGTTTGTAGTACAACACCGGGCGGTTGAAGGTGTTTGCTATGATGCCACCCCAACTTGGCATGCCGAGCCAGTGCTGTTGCTCGTTGACGACGTTGGGTTTGCTGGTGAGAAGACGAGCCATGGCAGCACCTCGATTCTCAGGTAAGGGGCGGTCGTCTACCGTATTTGTAACTGTATCGGCCATACGTTGGCGTACACTAAGCCATTCATCCTGGGACTCGCCAATGGAAATGGCTATGGCTCGGAAGCCGCAATGCCCATCACCTTTCACTTCGCGGGCGTTGATCACGAACGGTTCCAGCCATTGGTGAATTTGGTACTTTTTCAGGAGGGCAGGCAGGTTGGGATTGATCAGAGTCGGCCTTTGTAGTAAATCAGCCTCGCGGGTACGTTTACGAGTGACCGGTCGACTGGCGATTGAAGACGGTGAAGTTTGAGTTAAGGTGATGGGTGTTATACCTACTTGGTGTGAGGGTGCCAAAGTCAAAGTTACTGGTTTGTGTGGTAATACTGCCGAGGGATTTGTTTTGGTATTGACTGGTTGTAATTCAATTGGTTCCGCTGTTTTGCCTTTGCTTTGCGTATCAAGTGAAGTCGTCGAAGATGGAACATCAGTCAGGGTCGGGTTTTTCGTATCGATTTGTTGTGGCGGCTCAAGTGTAGGCTGAGAGAGAATGAGGTCTTCGAAGTTGAAGGTGGAGGTGGTAAGTTCCGATGCACCACAGAACTCTTCAATCAGCCTATCAACCTAGGAGAAGACGTTCATGAGTATGATTGGACAGCCATTCGAACACCTAGATTTGATTACAATTGATTTCTTACTGAGTGCTGTTCCTGCAGGCCCAGGTCTAGCGATGAGTCTGAGTGGATCTGGGCCTTGTTGACTGATTCGTGGAGCAGGCTCTGGATAACGAAGAAAAAGGTCAGCTAGGGATACACTTTGCCTTTGTATAAAGCTTTGCTGCCTACCGCCTTAGGTGCTTTGGGTAAGAATGAGATCGGCAGTTTTCCTTCATCGGCAATGATGCGTTCGTTACCGATGATTGTCTGGATTTTCATTAGAACATCATGACGTCTATCTGAGGCGATAGCGCAGAGTTTTGCTCTGAGCTGTGAGATAGTAGTGTCGATCATCTGAAGGGACTTGAGCTCAGTCTTGATGGCATAGTTTGGCTGTGGAGGTGGAGTGACAAGGAGTGATTTGGCCATGTGTAAATGATTGTATGAGTTGTCTGGACAAGCTTGTTGAATTGATGTTGATGAGTCGTTCTCGAGAGTATTGTGGTTGTCATGAACTCCGTCAAGAGAGTCTTCATCATCAAGAGAGACTCCTGGAGCTAGTATAGGGAGATCCTTGGGGTCCTTGGGCTTCTTGCGAGGTTTGACATCCGGATCTGGCGGGTGATTGTGTCCAAGGTGGGTATGGATGAGAATCCACTTTGATGATGGTTCTTAAAGGTATCGGGTGCTGATTTTGAACGCACACCCGATACGAGCTGACTTGGTTGTTCCTACGAGACTTGGTTTTCCAGAGGGATAGCCTGATTGATAGCACTCATAGTGCGAGACTGCGCTGCTCTTGTGTTGTGAGTTGCCAATTCGCATACGATAGCCATGATCCGTGGCTGGGAATGCTGCCACGTAAGCGTCCATCTTCGATCACATCAGGTACCGGAAAGACGTACTCGTCCTGGTCCATTCGTACAATTGAGAGTAAATAAAGAGGGATTGAAGAATGTAAAATGTGATAGTTGACTGGATTTCGCTTTGTACGGTAATATGGATATGTTGGAAGGTCGGGTAGTGATATTTTGTTCAGTCGTAATCTTGGTGCGTGGGTGATGGGAAATTGAGAGGAAGGTAGTGAGAGTTCCGCTGGGGTAGTGAGTTGTTGACTTTAGTAGTAAGACTTGAACTTAGGTAGTAAGAATTTGCCTTGGGTTTTGAGATTTGGTCGTGGTGGAGTAGTAAGATATTGTATTGAGTAGTAAGATATTGAGTTGAGTAGTAAGATATTGACTTGAGTAGTGAGTTTTTGACAAAATTTTCACTTGAGTAGTAAGTTTTCTACTCAGGTAGTAAGTTTGGTACTTGGGTAGTAAGATTATTTACTTGGGTAGTGAGATGTAGCTTTGGTGCGTGCGGGGGGGCAAGGCACCTGTGGCTACCCGCCCCTTCGGATACTAGCCGATAGGAACTGGGTCATTCCTATTGGCGACAAGCCGAAGCCCCCCCTTCCGACACGCCGACGCGGCCGACGCGTCGGCCTCACATCGATAATAACACAAGTTCTTATATGGAAAATATCAATGTCCCCTATAAATCATTACCACATAAACATAGAATTAACATATTATTAACACATGTACACCTGCACACAAAATTATCCAACACCACAACATGTTACCTATGAAGCTTTCACACTTGTGTGATTACATGTCACACGCGTTGTGATGTATGTGCGTGGCAGGCTAGTATCACCGGTCCCGGAGCCCTTTTTTTTTTCTTTTTCTTCTTTTTTTCTTCTTTTTTTCCCCT